TTCATAGGAAGCTTCGCCACAACAGCCTCTTGTCAGCAACAAAGTTGCGGAATTGCAGACGGCGAGCGCCGCGATCTGAATGCACCTCGCGGAGCAACATTGAACATCTCAATTAACGGAGCATCACGTTGCTCTTTGTTCGTCCTGCCCGCCAGCCCGCGTGCGTGGATGCGTGCGTGCGGCGTTTAGGGGGCACTTAGGGCGAATTGGAAGAGTCCATCGGAGGTGGCGGTGAGGGGGTGGAGTGAGAGAGAGGGGGGGGGCGGGGGAGGGGTTCAGGGTGGGGACACGGCGATCGGTGGAGGACTGAGGGAGGAGGAGCAGGGGACGAGACGAGGTTGTGAAGATTGTCTCCCACCAAATAGCCTCGCACCTCCACCCGGACCCGCGCTACAACCTCTACCTCCTCCTCCCCCCCCATTCCCTGCCACAACCTTGTGAGAGGTCACCCGGCGAGAGGAGGAGGAGGAGTGAGAAAAGAGGACATCAACATGACGGGTGAACGATTGCTCCATAACCGTTTCACGGCTAACGCGGTGACCTCGCTGGCGGAGTTTGAGGAGTGAGGGGGGGGTGGAGGAGGAATTTATTTTGGGTGTTTTTATTGGGGGGGGGTGTGAGGGGTAGGAGTGGGGCGAGGAGGAGCTCGGGGGGGGGGGGGGGCTGAGGGGGGGTGAGCAAGGGGAAAATTTCGACGCTAGGGCGAGAGCGCACCTCTTGAAGGATCGAGCAGAGGAGCGAGCGACTTAGTGAGTCCACCCCACCCACTCACCCACTCCTCGCGCACATCGGGAGCCGAGACAGAGACGCAGAGACACTGGGCAAAGACAGAGAGACACAGAGACAGAGAGGGAGATAATTTTATTTTAGATATTTTTGGAGGCGCGGGAGGGCGAGTGGTGAGATGTGTGGGTGGTGATCGGGTGACAGGATCAGAGAGACGCACGCGGATGAAGAGGCAGATGTTTAATGCTCGCTGCTGAGAGTCGAGATATCGACAGGTCCGTGGAAAGAGAGAGCGACGTAAGAGAGAGAGAGAGACAGAGAAAATGGGGAGAGACTTTAAACAACTTTTATTGCCGCCAGCAGCAAAAGCACTGGAGGCGATTTCGATATGAAATACACAAAGTCTCCAGCAACACAAATGAAAATAAACGTTACAAATCCACGCGCTGTGGCGCTAAAAAGCACCGCGCACAACACGAAAGAAAAGTCACGTGGTGGTTCTGGTGGTCATTCGCGCACGCCACGGTGACGAGCGAGCGCTTCAGAAGGTGAACATGAGGGTGCCGTCCACGCTGATACAGAGAGGGGCTTGTCCGGCTCCCCAGCGTTCGAAGAAGACGCGCTGCACATCACCGACACGTGTGTTTGGTACATGGCGTGCTCCAGCCGGAGCCGCGCCTTGAGCAGGCCTCTGAACACTGGAAGCAGCACAGAGCAGCCGTCAGTGAGAGTGGGGAGAGAGTAAGTGGACGTGAGAGATATTGATAGATCGGTTGAGTGAGAGAGAGAGAGAGGGTAGCGTAAAGGGATACATAGAGAGGTCAGTGGGCAGAGAGACGAGAGCGAGAGACGGCGAGAGAGACAGTGGGAGAGGAGACAGAGTAGGTGGAAGAGAGAGAGAGTAAGTGGGACAAGATGGGGAGGTCCGTGGAGAGAAAAAGAGAGAGATTATAAATAGAGAGAGAGCGTTAAAGGAGAGAGAGAGAGAGATGAGAGGGTAGGAGGAGGAGCCGGCTGAGGAGCTGGAGATGCCTTCAAGGAGCTTGCTGATTGATTGACGGAGCTCCTTAATTGAGGAGCCACTCGCGAGTAGCATCCTCTGAGTGGGTGGCGAGACCTAGACACCCGCATGACCCCCCCCCCCCCCCACCCTCTCTAAGGACCGCGTCTCATCTTCTGTATCGACAGATGACTTGCAACAACAAAATACAACAACAACAGCTGTCCGTCACTCAGAGAGGGTGAAGTCACCGCAGACAGCGCCTCAAGTACCATGGCTAGGTGCACGTGGAGACCTGACTTAGATGCCTGGCAGATGCAGCCAACCCTCGTGTGTTCCGTATCCTCCCAGCGCCGCTTCCCTCCACCACCACCACCACGACTGTGCCAACCCGCTCTGCTTTAGCCGCCACGGGGCCCATCTCGTTGTTGTGTGAGCGTGACACCGTTTTGAGACTAGGCTCAAAAGAAAGCTGTCTCAGTTTCAAAGGGCAGTTTCAAAGGCATATCAGAGTATGTTTTTTTTGCATTCTGAGCACAAGCATTGTGGTTAATGCAGGCACGATTCCTTGTAAAAGGTTTAAGTTTGGTGTATTAACATCTGAACACAGCTATTTTGCTGCCAGATAAAAGGGGAAAAACCTATTCTCATATTTTGGTACTGGCAAAGGAGGTCCCATGATGTAGTTAAAGCATTTCGGATGTCACTGATGATGATGTCACTGCGCTACTGTGACTGATGGTGACGTCACTGTGCTACTGTTACTGATGGTGATGTCACTGCGCTACTGTGACTGATGGTGACGTCACTGTGCTACTGTGACTGATGGTGATGTCACTGCGCTACTGTGACTGGTGGTGATGTCACTGCGCTACTGTGACTGATGGTGATGTCACTGCGCTACTGTGACTGATGGTGATGTCGCTGCGCTACTGTGACTGATGGTGGGTGATGTCACTGCGCTACTGTGACTGATGGTGGGTGATGTCACTGCGCTACTGTGACTGATGGTGATGTCACTGTGCTACTGTGACTGATGGTGATGTCACTGCGCTACTGTGACTGATGGTGATGTCACTGCGCTACTGTGACTGATGGTGGGTGATGTCACTGCGCTACTGTGACTGATGGTGATGTCACTGTGCTACTGTGACTGATGGTGATGTCACTGTGCTACTGTGACTGATGGTGATGTCACTGCGCTACTGTGACTGATGGTGATGTCACTGCGCTACTGTGACTGATGGTGGGTGATGTCACTGCGCTACTGTGACTGATGGTGATGTCACTGTGCTACTGTGACTGATGGTGATGTCACTGCGCGACTGTGACTGATGGTGATGTCACTGCGCTACTGTGACTGGTGGTGATGTCACTGCGCTACTGTGACTGATGGTGGGTGATGTCACTGCGCTACTGTGACTGATGGTGATGTCACTGCGCTACTGTGACTGATGGTGATGTCATTGCGCGACTGTGACTGATGGTGATATCACTGCGCGACTGTGACTGATGGTGATGTCACTGTGCTACTGTGACTGGTGGTGATGTCACTGCGCTACTGTGACTGGTGGTGATGTCACTGCGCTACTGTGACTGATGGTGATGTCACTGCGCTACTGTGGCTGATGGTGATGTCACTGCGCTACTGTGACTGGTGGTGATGTCACTGCGCTACTGTGACTGATGGTGATGTCACTGCACCAGTGTGACTGATGGTGACGTCACTGCGCGACTGTGACTGATGGTGATGTCTTCTTTGGTTCTTTCGGTAAAGTCACGTAGAATGAGAATAAAATAATAAAATAAAACAATACAATTCTCACGACGTTTCGGCCACAACACAAGTGGCCTTCTTCAGGTGAAAGGAACAAACCTGTCAGGACGACAGAGCTACAATGATGGTGATGTCACTGCGCGACTGTGACTGATGGTGACGTCACTGCGCGACTGTGACTGATGGTGACGTCACTGCGCGACTGTGACTGATGGTGATGTCACTGCGCTACTGTGACTGGTGGTGATGTCACTGCTCCACCGCTCCACAATATACTATTACTACTCTCACGTGAATACGTACGTACACATAAAAAGGTATAGATTCCCCGTATAGCCTATACAGACTGCTTGGGGCAAGTGCTGTTAGTGAGCACCTATAACATATACGCACACACACACATACAGATACAACAGAGATAAAGATCCCCCGTATAGCATTAGATACTTTTGGGAAAAGTGTTATCGAGCACACACACACATTTATATATATTTACACAGACACGTACAGACGCAATTATAAAAGTCATAATACCCTAACGGGTCTGTGTATAATTGAACGCCACGTGAATTTAGGAGATTAAGAACATTTTAGATTAGTGCTATGTTACAAATGCTACGCATTAGTCACGGCTGTTAGATGCGAATGCGTGAAAGTCCGTGATTCTGCCACCACCCCCCCCCCCCCCACATTGCTAGAGAACTCATGTTTAAGTAAAAAAAATAAACATTTAATAATAATAAATATACGTATTAATAAATTAATGGACATACTGCGCCATCTGGGCTCCTGGATTTGGATCAAAAGACATCTCTGATGGGTGAGATAATTGTCAGAGTTTCCGTTCGGCAACAGTTTTAAAAGATCCACGGTTCATCGCACAATCAGCAGCCGCACTTTTTCTCTGCTTGAGAGACGACGATAATATATCCCCCTCCTCTTACACGTTAGCAACGCAAATGAAAATTAACTACCTAAACTAACAGTTAATTGCCCGTTGCTTAACATGCAAAATGTTGCTTTGTTAAAAAAGAAAGAAAATCCCACTTCCTGCATCGTAGCCTCCACGCTGAGGCTGGCACGCGCGCGCGTGTGTGTCTGTGTGTGTGTGTCTGGTGTGTACAAGCGGTAGTCGACGTGTAAACATTATTACTGGAGAGACAAAAGCGGCCGGGCGTGGTGCTGGCCACCCGCCCCCTCGAGTGCCGTGCCGGCCTTCATAGGTGCTCGCAAACAGCACTTGCCCCAACAGTCTGTACAGGCTATACGGGGGATCTTTGTCGGTTTGTGTACACGCACGTTCTTATGCCGGGGGCCGAGTGCATTCGACATGTAAGATGTAAATGTATTAAGTGAAAAGATAAATACTTAGCGCTGTGCCGGGGTCGGTGGGTGTAGTTGGTTCGGTGAGTGCGTGGTTGGGTGGATGGATGACAACATATCTTGACTTGTTCGGAAACACATTTTTCGTGCTTTTTTTTCGTTTGTTTGTTCCAGTTGTTCGGAACTAAAGTGAGGGATCACGCGGCTTGCACTGGCGAACGAACCTCCTCCTCCTCCAAAATTCCACGGTGGCAATTCATCGGTGAGTCACTCCAGCCGTGACATTGTTTGCCTGGCTTTGAATTATCCCTCGCCGGCGTGGAATATCCAGCAGAATATAAAAAATAATTATAATGATGATAACGGTAGCAGCAGTAGTAGTAGTAAAAATAATAATGGAATAACGCGGTTAAAGTTAATTGAGTCGCAACGTATTTTGATGAATTGTTAGTGTTTGCTTGTGTGTGTGTGTGTTGTCAATCACTGGCGTTGGAGCTCCAAATGGGTGCAGCACGCGCCGCTTGAATGTAAACTAAGGGACGGTTTATCTTTGTTAAGGTTAATTCATTTTAAATAAACATATCATGTTTATTATTTTCCTTCACTGCGCGCTTATAGAGGATTGCCATGTGTACGCGTACCGCTTCGTGAAAACAACAACATTGAATCTAAATGTTCGTTTGACGGACAGTTCGAATTTTTTAGTGACGGTTGTTCGATTTTCTCCCATTGTGTTAATTAAAAAAAAATTGCGCGTGACTTTATCGACTAAGTGTGTATCAAATGTCTTCCCCCCCCTCCCCCCGTTGGGCTGCATGAAGACAAAGTGTCGTAGTCCGAAACGTCGCCCCCATTGACATTTGGAGCGGCTATTGTTTTACGAAAGCCGTGTTAATGAGGACGGTGGTGGGATTATTTTTGTTTCTGTGTTTTGATTGCGATGCCGAGAAGATTACGTGCGGCGATTTAGCAAGATAAGCATTGTCAACTATATCGACAACAATATCAACAACAATAATAACAATATAAAGAGAGAATTTATAACGTCCGTTTTTATTGAGCGCGTGCATTTCTGTAAAAAAAAAGCAAATCAAAGAAAATCGAGATGATTTAAAACACACCACATCTCTGACAAACATCAACAAGAACGGCAACAGTAGCGGCAAACAATATCAAATTAAACGTCAGCAACAATTACGATTTATTTGTATGGACCTCGTTAAACTTGTACCTGATTATGAATTGAGATATATTTGCAAAAAAAACTTCACCGTTGGGATCTACTCGAATCAAAACCCCGACCTGAACAACACCTCAACAACAGCAACTCAACAACAACTCAACAACAGCAAACTCAACAACAACAACAACTCAACAACAGCAACTCAACACCAGCAACAAACAACCAAATATCAACAACTCATTGTCCATTGTCGGACCCGAGTTTGAAAATCTCACTTTTTTCAATACTTTGCCGTGAAGACTCAAACTCTTCCAACAACAACAACAACATCACCACCACAACCACCACCACCCAACAAGCAAACAAACTCCCACCCACCCAAAAAAAAAATCACTCCCAAGTCATCAGTGCTCGGATGAACCGCACGGACGCTAGCCACTGTGGCCGTGGCGCCGATTTAAACGAAGCTGGCGGCTAGGCCGCCCCAGCAAGAGCCGGCGTCCTGACTCCACCTCGGGCCTCGTGGACGCGTGCCGCCGCCAGCGGCACCCCGCGCGCGATGCCGGCCCCTTCGGCGCCCTGGTCGATGCAGGCCACGGCGGCAGCGCAGCGGCGATGCCTCCTCCTGCTCAGGCCTCGCCCCGTGCGGCCGCTCAGATTCCTGGCCCTCTTGGCGCTCTACCTGTCCGTCGGGAGTCTTCTGCTCTCCCACTCGGCGCCCCTCGTCGCCCGTCTCGCCGCCAGGGCTGGGGTCGCTGCCGGGAGTGGTGGTGGTGTCGGTGGTGGTGGTGGTGGTGGTGTTGGTGTTGGTGGTGTTGGTGGTGTTGGTGGTGGTGTTGGTGGGGGCCACGTGGCGGTCTCGGCGGACGTCTTGGAGGAGCCCTCGGGAGCTCCCTTGGAGGGGCCCCTGCAGCAGCAGCAGCAGCAGCAGGGAGCTGCGTTGGCCATCGGCATGTGGGCCTCAAGGGGGTCCGTGTCGGAAGGGACTCACAGAGATGGTGAGGTGGTGGTGTTGTGGGTAATTGTGCGGTGGTGGTGGTGCTGTTGTGGGTGATTGTGCGGTGGTGGTGGTGGTGGTGTTGTGGGTGATTGTGCGGTGGTGGTGGTGGTGGTGTTGTGGGTGATTGTGCGGTGGTGGTGGTGTGGGTGATTGTGTGGTGGTGGTGTTGTGGGTGATTGTGTGCTGGTGGTGGTGGTGTTGTGGGTGATTGTGTGATGGTGCTGTTGTGGGTGATTGTGCGGTGGTGGTGGTGGTGTTGTGGGTGATTGTGCGGTGGTGGTGGTGTTGAGGGTGATTGTGTAGCGGTGGTGGTGTTGTGGGTGATTGTGTGGCGGTGGTGGTGTTGTGGCTGATTGTGTGGTGGTGGTGGTGTTGTGGGTGATTGTGTGGCGGTGGTGGTGTTGTGGGTGATTGTGCGGTGGTGGTGGTGGTGGTGTTGTGGGTGATTGTACGGTGGTAGTGGTGGTGTTGTGGGTTATTGTGTGGCGGTGGTGGTGTTGTGGGTGATTGTGTGGTAGTGGTGGTGTTGTGGGTTAGTGTGCGGTGGTGGTGGTGTTGTGGGTGATTGTGTGGTGGTGGTGGTGTTGTGGGTGATTGTGCGGTGGTGGTGGTGTTGTGGGTGATTGTGCAGTGGTGGTGTTGAGGGTGATTGTGTAGCGGTGGTGGTGTTGTGGGTGATTGTGTGGTGGTGGTGGTGTTGTGGGTGAGTGTGTGGCGGTGGTGGTGTTGTGGGTGATTGTGTAGTGGTGGTGGTGGTGTTGTGGGTTATTGTGTGCCGGTGGTGGTGTTGTGGGTGATTGTGCGGTGGTGGTGGTGTTGTGGGTGATTGTACGGTGGTAGTGGTGGTGTTGTGGGTGATTGTGCGGTGGTGGTGGTGGTGTTGCGGGTGATTGTGTGGTGGTGGTGTTGCGGGTGATTGTGTGGTGGTGGTGTTGTGGGTGATTGTGCGGTGGTGGTGGTGTTGTGGGTGATTGTGCGGTGGTGGTGGTGGTGTTGTGGGTGATTGTGCGGTGGTGGTGGTGTTGTGGGTGATTGTGCGGTGGTGGTGGTGTTGTTGTTGTGGGTGATTGTGTGGTGGTGGTGGTGTTGTGGGTGATTGTGCGGTGGTGGTGGTGTGTGTGATTGTGTGGTGGTGGTGGTGGTGGTGTTGTGGGTGATTGTGCGGTGGTGGTGTTGTTGTTGTGGGTGATTGTGCGGTGGTGGTGTTGTGGGTGATTGTGCGGTGGTGGTGGTGTTGTGGTGATTGTGCGGTGGTGGTGGTGGTGGTGATGTGGGTGATTGTGCGGTGGTGGTGGTGGCGTTGTGGGTGATTGTGTGGTGGTGGTGTTGTGGGTGAGTGTGTGGCGGTGGTGGTGTTGTGGGTGATTGTGTAGTGGTGGTGGTGGTGTTGTGGGTTATTGTGTGCCGGTGGTGGTGTTGTGGGTGATTGTGCGGTGGTGGTGGTGTTGTGGGTGATTGTGCGGTGGTGGTGGTGTTGAGGGTGATTGTGTAGCGGTGGTGTGGGTGATTGTGTGGCGGTGGTGGTGTTGTGGCTGATTGTGTGGTGGTGGTGGTGTTGTGGGTGATTGTGTGGCGGTGGTGGTGTTGTGGGTGATTGTGCGGTGGTGGTGGTGGTGGTGTTGTGGGTGATTGTACGGTGGTAGTGGTGGTGTTGTGGGTTATTGTGTGGCGGTGGTGGTGTTGTGGGTGATTGTGTGGTAGTGGTGGTGTTGTGGGTTAGTGTGCGGTGGTGGTGGTGTTGTGGGTGATTGTGTGGTGGTGGTGGTGTTGTGGGTGATTGTGCGGTGGTGGTGGTGTTGTGGGTGATTGTGCAGTGGTGGTGTTGAGGGTGATTGTGTAGCGGTGGTGGTGTTGTGGGTGATTGTGTGGTGGTGGTGGTGTTGTGGGTGAGTGTGTGGCGGTGGTGGTGTTGTGGGTGATTGTGTAGTGGTGGTGGTGGTGTTGTGGGTTATTGTGTGCCGGTGGTGGTGTTGTGGGTGATTGTGCGGTGGTGGTGGTGTTGTGGGTGATTGTACGGTGGTAGTGGTGGTGTTGTGGGTGATTGTGCGGTGGTGGTGGTGGTGTTGCGGGTGATTGTGTGGTGGTGGTGTTGCGGGTGATTGTGTGGTGGTGGTGTTGTGGGTGATTGTGTGGCGGTGGTGGTGTTGTGGGTGATTGTGCGGTGGTGGTGGTGGTGTTGTGGGTGATTGTGCGGTGGTGGTGGTGTTGTGGGTGATTGTGCGGTGGTGGTGGTGTTGTTGTTGTGGGTGATTGTGTGGTGGTGGTGGTGGTGTTGTGGGTGATTGTGCGGTGGTGGTGGTGTGTGTGATTGTGTGGTGGTGGTGGTGGTGTTGTGGGTGATTGTGCGGTGGTGGTGTTGTTGTTGTGGGTGATTGTGCGGTGGTGGTGTTGTGGGTGATTGTGCGGTGGTGGTGTTGTGGGTGATTGTGCGGTGGTGGTGGTGGTGTGGGTGATTGTGCGGTGGTGGTGGTGGCGTTGTGGGTGATTGTGCGGTGGTGGTGGTGTTGTGGGTGATTGTACGGTGGTGGTGGTGGCGTTGTGGGTGATTGTGTGGTGGTGGTGGTGTTGTTGGTGAGTGTGTGGCGGTGGTGGTGTTGTGGGTGATTGTGTAGTGGTGGTGGTGGTGTTGTGGGTTATTGTGTGCCGGTGGTGGTGTTGTGGGTGATTGTGCGGTGGTGGTGTTGTGGGTGATTGTACGGTGGTAGTGGTGGTGTTGTGGGTGATTGTGCGGTGGTGGTGGTGGTGTTGCAGGTGATTGTGTGGTGGTGGTGTTGTGGGTGATTGTACGGTGGTAGTGGTGGTGTTGTGGGTGATTGTGCGGTGGTGGTGGTGGTGTTGCGGGTGATTGTGTGGTGGTGGTGTTGTGGGTGATTGTGCGGTGGTGGTGGTGTTGTGGGTGATTGTGCGGTGGTGGTGGTGGTGTTGTGGGTGATTGTGCGGTGGTGGTGGTGTTGTGGGTGATTGTGCGGTGGTGGTGGTGTTGTTGTTGTGGGTGATTGTGTGGTGGTGGTGGTGGTGTTGTGGGTGATTGTGCGGTGGTGGTGGTGTGTGTGATTGTGTGGTGGTGGTGGTGGTGGTGGTGTTGTGGGTGATTGTGCGGTGGTGGTGGTGGCGTTGTGGGTGATTGTGCGGTGGTGGTGGTGTTGTGGGTGATTGTACGGTGGTGGTGGTGGTGGCGTTGTGGGTGATTGTGTGGTGGTGGTGGTGTTGTGGGTGAGTGTACGGTGGTGGTGGTGTTGCGGGTGATTGTGCGGTAGTGTAACGACCAACACCGGTGACGATTATCTGAACCGCAACTGGGCCTCCCCCTAGGCCGCCTCGGCCGTAAATGGGTTACGGGTGCGGCGTGTAAATATCGTCGATGGGGAGACAAAGGCGGTCGGGCGTGGTACTGGCCACCCACCCCCTCGTGTGCCGTGCCGGCCTTCATAGGTGCTCGCTAACAGCACTTGCCCCTAAAGTCTGTTAAGGCTACACGGGGGATCTTTGTCTTTGGTGAGTCTGGTGGCGATGGCGTGTAGAGTTGGTGAGGTTGATGATGATTATATTTGTTATTTAAGATTAAGATGATGATGATGATGATTACGATATGTTCATTTTGATGATGATTACCTTCGATTTACGAATTTTTATCTCGATGCTACTAACGATAATATTGATTATTATGATACAAGTGAATTTTAACAATAATCATTCAGGAAGTCCAACCACAACAGTAATACCAACACAACCACCGTTATCACCACCACGACTATCACCACCACAATTACCGTCATAATCAGCACCACAACCATCACCACCACTACCACAGCTACCGCCAACACCACAACTACTGCCATCACCACAACCACGAGGACCATCACCACCACCACCACCACCAGCACCACCACAATCACCATCACAATTACCATCATCACCACCACAATCACCACCACAATTACCATCATCACCACCACCACAACTACTGTCATCACCACAACCACCACCACAATTACCATCATCACCACCACAATCACCACCACAATTACCATCACCACCACAATCACCACCACAATTACCATCATCACCACCACGCCCATCACCACCACCACCACAATCACCACCACAATTACCATCATCACCGCCACGCCCATCACCACCACCACAATCACCACCACAATTACCATCACCACCACGCCCATCACCACCACCACCACAATCACCACCACAATTACCATCATCACCACCACGCCCACCACCACCACCACCACAATCACCACCACAATTATCATCATCACCACCACGCCCATCACCACCACGTCCACCACCACCACAATCACCACCACAATTACCATCATCATCACCACCACGCCCATCACCACCACCACCACTACAGCCGCATCTCCCTCAATCTCCATCCGCCAACTCTCCCTCCCCATCCCCCCCCCGTCCCCCCTCTTAACCGCACCCCCCCCCCCTCCACCTTCCACCCGCAGCTTCGCCCCCCGCCGCCTTTCCAGGGCTACCCCGCGGTGGTGGTGGAGGTGGTGGTGGTGGAGGTGGTGGAGGTGGTGGAGGTGGTGGAGGTGGTGGAGGTGGTGGTGGAGTTGGTCCGGACGAACCCTTCTCTGGGGGGGCCCGCATCATCAAGTACCGACCCCCCTGGATGCGCCAGCGGGCCGAGGGCAGCGAGCGTCCTCAGGGAGGATACGGGGGGGCAGCGCAGCCCCCCTTGTCGGGAGTCGTGGGGGGCAGCAGTGGCGGTGCGAGAGCTGCCAGCGAGCAGGACGAGTCCGGGAAAGGTGAGGACGAGTTTACCATCATCATCACCATCGTAGTCACCATCATCATCACCATCATCACCATCGTAGTCACCATCATCATCATCATCACCACCATCATCACCATCATCACCATCGTAGTCACCATCATCATCACCATCATCACCATCATCACCATCGTAGTCACCATCATCATCATCACCATCATCACCATTGTAGTCATCATCACCATCATCACCATCGTAGTCACCATCATCATCATCACCATCATCACCATCATAGTCACCATCATCATCACCATCATCAGCATCATCACCATCGTAGTCACCATCATCATCACCATCATCACCATCGTAGTCACCATCATCATCACCATCATCCCCATCATCACCATCGTAGTCACCATCATCATCATCACCATCATCACCATCATCACCATCGTAGTCACCATCATCATCACCACCATCATCACCATCATCACCATCGTAGTCACCATCATCATCGCCACCATCATCACCATCATCACCATCGTAGTCACCATCATCATCACCATCATCACCATCATCACCATCGTAGTCACCATCATCATTACCATCATCACCATTGTAGTCACCATCATCATCATCACCACCATCATCACCATCGTAGTCACCATCATCATCATCACCATCATCACCATCATCACCATCATAGTCACCATCATAATCACCATCATCAGCATCATCACCATCGTAGTCACCATCATCACCATCATCACCATCGTAGTCACCATCATCATCACCATCATCACCATCGTAGTCACCATCATCATCACCACCATCATCACCATCGTACTCACCATCATCATCATCACCATCATCACCACCATCATCACCATCGTAGTCACCATCACCATCATCACCATCGTAGTCACCATCATCATCACCACCATCATCACCATCGTAGTCACCATCATGATCATCATCATCACCATCATCACCATCGTAGTTACCATCATCATCACCATCATCACCATCGCAGTCACCATCATCATCATCACCATCATCAACATCGTAGTCACCATCATCATCATCATCACCATCATCACCATCATCACCACCATCATCATCTTCGCCATCATCATCACCATCATCACCATCTTGACCATCATCATCACTGTCATCATCTTCATCATCTTCACAATCATCACTACCACCCATCATCACCACCATCATCATCATCTTGACCATGATCATCACTGTCATCATCTTCACCATCATCATCATCTTCACCATCATCACCACCATCATTATCACCATCATCATCACCACCATCACTACCATCATCATTTTCACCACAATCATAATCATGACCACCACCATCATCTTCACCATCATCATCACCATCATCACTACCATCATCATTTTCACCACAATCATAATCACCATCACCACCATCATCACCATTATTACCATCATCACAACTACTACCATCATCACCACCACTATCATCATCATCATATACAAACTCCACGCACACTCACCCCACCCTCACACTCACTCACACTCGGCAGAACTCACGAGTTGGGAATCGAACCTCGGGTCATCTTGCTGTGAGTGCGCGAGTTATTTCCACTCATCATCATCATCGAGATTGGAGAGTGCGTACACCCCGCTGATCCCCAGCACTGCATCTAACACCAGGGATGTGAGTGGCGTGTGTCGGCATTTAGTGACACGTGCTCGGGTATCTCTGATTGGAGAGGGGGTGGGGAAGTGGGGGGCGACGGGGGAAAGGGGGGGAGGGGCGATGGGGGGGGGTAAAGGTGGCAAGGCCCATGGTGGATGAAGGATATATTTGCTTACATACAAAGATACAGATCCCCCGTATAGCTGTAACAGACTGTTAGGGCAAGTGCTGTCAGCGAGTGGCGCCTTTGAAGGCCGGCACGGCACACGAGGGGGTGGGTGGCCAGTACCACGCCCGACCGCCTTTGTATCCCTCGTCGCAATATTTTACAGACCGCACCGGGTACTAATTTGAGGCTGAGTGGACATAGGGGAGGCCCAGAGCCGATGCACATTGACCGCCACTTGTGTTGGCCGGGTTCGTATCGCAGCGCCGCTACCCGCTGTGTCACCTCTCCCCACACACGCACACAAAGACAAAGATCCCCCGTCTAACCTTAACAGACTGTTGGGGCAAGTGCTGTTAGCGACCGACCTATGAAGGCCGGCACGGCACACGAGGGGGTGGGTGGCCAACACCACGCCCGGCCGCCTTTGCCTCCCAAGTGGCGATGCTCACGCATCGTACCAGGTACTCATTTGAGGCTGAGTCGACCTAGGTTGAGGCTCAGGACCGGTTCATATAATCGTCACCGCAGCGTAGCGCTAACCACTACACTACCGCTCCGCATAGGGATAGCCACGCTCAACACATCTCTCCTCGACCCCGCCCCTCTATCCCCAACAACCCAACCTCCAATTTAGAATCTGTCAATTACACGGGGCATTTAAATTCACGACACACACACACACAAACGACTGGGATAAGTACTACGCGAAGGTTTTACGGTGGAATTTGTTTATAATTATCTCTGTACAAAGATAAGCGACCAGCTGCCACTGGCTGCTCATACACAGCGCTGTGAACAGCCTCACACACACACAGCTACACACACACAGCTACACACACACAGCTACACACACACAGCTACACACACACAGCTACACACACACACAGCTACACACACACAGCTACACACACACAGCTACACACACACAGCTACACACACACAGCTACACACACACAGCTACACACACACAGCTACACACACACAGCTACACACACACAGCTACACACACAGCTACACACACACAGCTACACACACACAGCTACAGCCAGCACTGCGAACAGCCTCACACACACACACAGCTACACACACACAGCTACACACACACAGCTACACACACACAGCTACACACACACAGCTACACACACACAGCTACACACACACAGCTACACACACACAGCCTCACACACACAGCTACACACACACAGCCTCACACACACAGCTACACACACACAGCTACACACACACAGCTACACACACACAGCTACACACACACAGCTACACACACACAGCTACACACACACAGCTACACACACACAGCTACACACACACAGCTACACACACACAGCGACACACACACAGCTACACACACACAGCTACACACACACAGCTACACACACACAGCTACACACACACAGCTACACACACACAGCTACACACACACAGCTACACACACACAGCTACACACACACAGCTACACACACACAGCTACACACACACAGCTACACACACACAGCCTCACACACACACAGCTACACACACACAGCTACACACACACAGCTACACACACACAGCTACACACACACAGCTACACACACACAGCTACACACACACAGCTACACACACACAGCTACACACACACAGCTACACACACACAGCCTCACACACACACAGCTACACACACACACAGCTACACACACACAGCCTCACACACACACAGCTACACACACACAGCTACACACACACAGCTACACACACACAGCCTCACACACACACAGCTACACACACACAGCTACACACACACAGCTACACACACACAGCTACACACACACAGCTACACACACACAGCTACACACACAGCGCTGCGAACAGCCTCACACACACACACAGCTACACACACACAGCTACACACACACAGCTACACACACACAGCTACACACACACAGCTACACACACACAGCTACAGACAGCACTGCGAACAGCCTCACACACACACAGCTACACACACAGCTACACACACACAGCTACACACACACAGCTACAGACAGCACTGCGAACAGCCTCACACACAGCCACACACACAGCTACACACACACAGCTACACACACAGCTACACACACACAGCTACACACACACAGCTACACACACAGCTACACACACAGCTACACACACAGCGCTGCGAACAGCCTCACACACACACACAGCTACACACACACAGCTACACACACACAGCTACAGACAGCACTGCGAACAGCCTCACACACACACAGCTACACACACAGCTACACACACACAGCTACACACACACAGCTACACACACACAGCTACAGACAGCACTGCGAACAGCCTCACACACACAGCTACACACACAGCTACACACACACAGCTACACACACACAGCTACACACACAGCACTGCTAACAGCCTCACACACACACACAGCTACGCACACAGCTACAGACAGCACTGCGAACAGCCTCACACACACACACACAGCTACACACACACAGCTACACACACACAGCTACAGCCAGCACTGCGAACAGCCTCACACATAGCTACACACACAGCTACAGACAGCACTGCGAACAGCCTCACACACAGCTACACACACACAGCTACACACACACAGCTACACACACACAGCTACACACACACAGCTACACACACAGCTACACACACACAGCTACACACACACAGCTACACACACACAGCCTCACACACACACAGCTACACACACACAGCTACACACACACAGCTACACACACACAGCTACACACACACAGCTACACACACACAGCTACACACACACAGCTACACACACACAGCCTCACACACACACAGCTACACACACACAGCTACACACACACAGCCACACACACACACAGCTACACACACACAGCTACACACACACAGCTACACACACACAGCTACACACACACAGCTACACACACGCAGCTACACACACACAGCTACACACACACAGCTACACACACACAGCTACACACACACAGCCACACACACACAGCTACACACACACAGCTACACACACACAGCTACACACACACAGCCTCACACACACACAGCTACACACACACAGCTACACACACACAGCCTCACACACACACAGCTACACACACACAGCTACACACACACAGCTACACACACACAGCCTCACACACACACA